TGTTAAAGAAGTCGAGATACAAAATTTGTCAAAATGGCAAGAAGATATAATAATCTGGTAGAAAGAAGTTATAGAAACAAGTATATAAATACATGTGTGAGATATATACCGTTATGTTAGATTTACCTTAAGGATAGTTAAGTGTCCTAAGATAGAATATGAAATCTAGATTGGGTGATACCAAAATCTATTATAGTTTATAGTGAGGAAACCCATCAGGTTAGAGGGCAGATGGAAATAATTAGAACCAGATAGTTTAAATGGGTACCTTCCTAGTTGGAGTACAGGTATAACAGATAGTGTAGAACCTTCAAACAGACTACTTAAATAGGCACTCAAAAGGTACACATGTGGCTTGATGTACCATTGTTGTAATTATATATAAAACTCTGTCTATACTCTAATAAAAAGTTCCCCAGGCTAAAGAGATCACCTTAATACCAAAAATTTAACTTTTGTTACACTTTACTTGTCTATTAGATATTCTTTATTTTGCTTAAACAATAAGATACTATGATAAAAAATACTATAAGTTACTACTATATATTAAATTACTAAATATATTTCTAAATAAAAAATAATAAAAAATTTACTAATAAAACAACAAGTACAAATTTGAATTGTGTAATCTAAACTAGACTATTAATAGTAATTTGTATAACTATGCTAAAAGCTAAAAATATACTAAAAAATCTACTAATAAAACCACTAGTACAAATTTGAATTGTGTAATCTAAACTAGACTATCAATAGTAATTTGTATAGCTATGCTAAAAACTAAAAATATGCTAATAAATATACTAATATAACAATATAGTAAACCCAATAAAATATTAGTATACAGTAACTGCTAAAAAAACACTAATAATTACTAGTAATAATAAATAGCAAACCTTAATTGTATAATAAAAATATAATAATTTTTTTTTAAAAAATAGATAATTTATTAGTATATAAATGCAGTAAATATTATATATAATATATACTGTATATAATACAAAAATATAAAAAATAAATTAACAAATATACTAATATACAATATATAATTTTAAAATATTCTAATTTATTTTATAAATAGAGTTTAATTTAAAAAATAAATTTAATGTTTTAAAAAATTCTAAGTTTATATATAGGTTATACGTATAATTTTATTGTATACGAAAAACTTTTTGCATTAACTTTTTACGTATTAAAATAAAAAAAAACATATCAGATATATAATTTATACGTAATACAGTATTATTAATAGTCGTACATACAATAAAATTTTATTTCACTCCCATTTAAAGATATTAATATATGTCAATAACTATAAATAGTCTTCAGGAACCAACATTATATACACGATCAAATCTTAAAAAAATTTATTATTTTGCATTTAATGTAATACTATTCACACAATCAAAATTAAATTCAATGCTAGATCAATTGCCTGATAGACAGGAATACGAAACATAAAAAAATGGATGAAAATAAATAATTAACGATTGGTTCAAGCAACGTTGCATTATTTTTCATGTTACGTACATACATACGTAAGTGCGGAAAAATAATATGTCGGTGATCTATAAATATTAAAACATAACAAAACAAATTTACAAAGAAATATGCAATATTTACATAATGTAAAAAAGAAAAAAAGAAAAAAGCACCAATTGAAAGGAATGCAAAGAAGAGAACAAAGATTAATGAACAATAATAGTAAGGATACTGTATAGATGCAATAAAATCTAACTTTCTACTGTATATTTTCTATGTATATAATTAAAAAAAAAAAAAATCAGGATCATTCATGCCATGTGAAAGAATTAAACATTTTAACCTAGTATTATAGTTAACAATTCGACAAACGCAAGGAGATTTTAGAAGTTATTAAACAAACAAAACCTTGATTAATTAAATTTAGTTGGTTGAAATTTTTGACCAATGAAAACATTCAAGAAATTTCCTTTCAGACCATAAATGTTTTCAATCGATCAATCAATTACAAATAATAGACGAATTAGATGACGTAACTTTGAATTATCATATAAATTTATGAAATTCATAACGATAAGTGAAATCATCTTAATTTAAATCTTACGTGCAGCTTAATAAACAGAAAGCCCCTAGATTTTATGTAATATAAATAATGGATAATTGACAATCCAATTTAATCTGTCTGACAAAGATTGTAAAACGTTAAACTTGTTAATCGTTTCGACACACGTTAGAGGCAAGTTTTAGTTATAAATAGGAAAATGATAGGGAATTTTCGTTTTTCATGCTTATTTGTACAAAAATGACACATTAAAACTAAACTAAACCACACTAGCATTGCGCTGGAACATACATTAGAAATACGGTAGTAGAAATACGCTAGAATAGACAACAATAATATGGCTACGACACCATCTGAGTGGTGCAATAATTGTGAGATCTATAGTATCACACTTAAAAGATACGAAAAACTTGTGCAACAAAAAATACAACAACTCGCCGACATTGAAGAAGAAGATATATTAGTTCAAGAAAAGATTCGCTTAACACAACAAGATATTCGGAACATTCAACCGTACGAAAATCAAGACCGAAATGAAACGCAAGATTTTATGAAACACGTTCCTCAAAATGACGACATTATCTCTATGGACGATAATAATGATATTGATGAACTATTGCGGGGTACATCAAAGGCACTTCAAGGTAAAACCGTACGACTTAATTAAATAATGAAATAATGAAAATAATGAAATAATGAATGGAGGAACCAAATTTATCATTCATTTATTTATTTAAAAGTTAAAAATTAATTTGTTTAGTTCCACCCCCTACAAGAAGTTACAAGCCAATGGTACCAGCAGCATTTATTTCCAATATACCACGTTCACTTTCACAAGAATCCTTGAGAACAACACTCGAAAGAGAATTTGGAAAAGTGTTGGGATTAACATTTTGGGAATACCACGTAAGTTGAATATTTCTATAAAGATAATTACTTCCATTTACTAAGAAGATAGGGTCTGAAATATAGGACCTAAAAAAATTTCGGCGCTTAGTAAATGGGGTCGGCATTTTATTGTAATACAAAAAAGAAAAGGAAAAAAGAAAAAAAAAAAAAAAAAAGAAAAAAAAAAAGAAAAAGGAATAAATCTAAAATAAATCTAAAATAAAATATAAATATAAATAATAAAATAAAATAGAATTAAAAAATTTGATTATTTGTAGAGATCTGCGTTGGTAAATTTTGCCGAGATGCAATCCTATCGTAAAGCAATTGAAAGACGCGTATTCCACGTAGGCCCGACAGCCCTTACAATTTCAAGATGAAGATGATTGTTTATGTCATATTGCACCTGTGGGAATTCTAAAGAACAAAAGCATCATGTATTTAGTTCAACGTTAAATCTTAACGCAACCGAGTATTAAATCGATGAGATTTTTAAATTGAACATTTTTTTTAATTGGAAATTAAATATCAATTAAATTGATATATATATATATATATATATACCGGTATATATATTTATATTATATATATTTATATATAATATATATTTTATACATATACATATATATATATATATATTTATGTATATTACGAAATCTAATAAACCAAAAAATTTAATAAATCAAATTTAATAAATCCGATAATAAATAATAAAGTGCAGGTAAGCATTATTTCATTATTGATCTTTCTATTTACAAACCAAATATTTTCACATATATCGATATTTACAAAATATTTTCACAACAGTTACAATAGCGATAGTTGTACACAAACAAATCTTTAGTCATAAGGCACACAAAGAAACTAGTCACGTTATCTAAAAAAAATCAGATTTTCAAAAACCCATGACCCCTGAAAAAGTATCCAAATTTCTATTTCAGACAATTCATAATGCATCGCGTAGTCAATAAGAAAATGGTAGTTTCTTTAAGACAATTATTTGGACCACAAAGTAATCAAATTATTAAAATTAATAACATTCCAACGTGTGGTCTTGGCGTTCGTCGAGGAAAAAAGGGGGCGATGGCTTTTTAAGATTTGCTTTTGTGTGGAGGAACATTGACCATTATCGAAGATTTATATGCAACATAAAATGCCATTCTCCTGAAGATCTTTACGTAAAACAAAAGTTCGTGCACGCCATAAATCACGTGCGAACTCCATCAGCCTTATAATTGGAACGTTTTCTTTACACCAACATACTTAAATGTATGATGTACATACATGTAAAAATAATGGATCTTTGGCGCAATTTTTTACGTAAGGATGATATCATTCATTTTTTTGATCTCGATTATTTGTATAGATCAATCTTTTAAGTTATTTTAGCTAACCTTGTCTAGCATACATGGTTAAATTTTCATGCTAGGTATAAACTGCTAAGCGAATATCTTTCGATCTAAACATCAGACAAAGACACACACACACACACAAATATGTTTATCGTGACAATTTTAATTTTAATACTGTATGTTCACAATCGACAATCGGTATTAAATAAATTAAATAAAGTGTATAAGTAATCATTTTTTATTAACTGGTCCCATTGTTATTGTTGTTTCTTTTCAAAACTTGTGAAACGATTTAAATCAACAACAATAAAATGTCATTTATTCGACATATAATGACAACCAATCAATTTTAAGTTTTTTCATGTATTATCGAGCCAATCAAAATTATTACTTTGCATTCATGGTTACATTCGTGATACTGAATATTCCAACGGAGCCCCTTGAAATTTTGTTTACAATACGCCGATGATGTGTCCCTTCACGTGAGTCTTTTTTCATATAACGATAGCTGTTACGATAATAACTGTTAAGTTTGATTAATCACGTGAAATGCACAAGGCGTAATAACAGAATAGGTATCCATATCGATTTCCTATTAAAAAAAAAAATATGCTGTATATTTAGTTTTTGTACTACATAATTTTATCGAATTTTATCGGCAAATTTTTATTTTTTTTTTTCATTCACGCCGAATCTGTTGATTTTCTAGAAAATATACTTAACAGAAAGATTCGGGAAATATCAATAGTATGCAATTTTGGTGTGGGCGCGACCACTGCGATTAGGATAAACAAAACAAACAAATTGTATTTTCGGATTGCGTGATTCTTTATATTAAAAAAAATTTTTATTTATTTATTTTTTTTTTTTTCCTAATATTAAATGAATTTTAATTTTATTCTTTGACATTAAAATATCATCTTGTAGATCTGATGACAAATTATTTAGAGAATAATTAAATGATCATCATTTTTTTAATTTCTTTTAACGTGGGAATCTCTAGGAGCAGGAAAAAAAATTTTTTTGTTCATTACGTTTACGTTTACTGGTTTAAACATGGAAGGTATATTCATGACTACCGATCAAATAATATAAAACCTTCATTTTATTTTTTTTTTCTTTTATATTTTTTTTCTTTTTAGTTATAAACTAAACTTTATGAACATATTTTACTTTCCTTTGATGCCTATAGAAGACACAAATTATCAGACTACTTCAACTAAATCGTCCTTGGCGCCTTTAAAATGTAAGTAAATGTAAAAGGGCCAAAATATTGGTCCGCCAATTATAAATTTATTAAACATCAACTGCAAGGGTCTTGGAATGCATTGCAGGTAACCAAAAACACAAAAGTGGGGGCATCAATAATCTCTGTTGATTGTGCCACGAAATCAGACATTTTAACGCGGGGTCGATAGTGGCTACAAGCGGTGCAATCATTCTACTATTGGTCTTTGTCGTGCTTGCTTTGTTTACCTTTTACAGATGCTAATAAAAAAATGTAAAAAAAAAAATCTGTAATCTCTATAATCAGGGCATTTTAATATATAAGCCTCTGACATTTTGAATCTTCGTTTTGCCTGGAGTCACTTTTTTTTCTGATCATTGACTAAAAAGACACATCTTCGTTTAGACTTTATGAAGGTCGTTTGCGTTATCCTTTGAGACCTTTGAGATGTTATTATGTCGTCCACGACTACTTGATAGCGTTGGCCCTAACGGTTCCTCTCACTCTTCTAAACAAACGCATTTCATCTCATTATTTCCCGTCGCTATCTCGCGGGAGGTTGGAATCCTTTCCTATTCCCAGCTAATAAAATTTTGGCTTCAGGATCAACCAAAGGCTTATTGGCCATACGCATAAACGATCTATTTTCCACAAGATGCGTCTAAGGAAAGGATCAGAGGATGATCCTGATTTATGACAAAAAAAAAAAAAAAAAAAAAAAAGATGGAACAATTATGTTGTATATATTTTTGTATATCATATTTTTTTTGAAATGAACATTATCATTGTATAAAAAAATGAAATAGAATCGTTTATTTTTTTTTTTTTTCTTTACACAAAACACAAAAAAATTATTGATCTTGAATTGCTATAGTTGTCCTTAAAAATTTCACCCGTCGACAAGATCATGCGTTTTTTTGATTTTTTGATCCGCGAATCTTTCTTTTCATCTTGACGCAAGATACATTCTACGCATTTTACGTATAACTTTTTATTTTCTTCTTTTTTCTATCTATTCGGATAGTGTTTCGTATGATATTCGCAAAAACCCTTTATTGGACATATTATTTACTTTAAACACCTTAAATACTTTATATTTTTTTTCTAAAGAAAAAAACAAGTCAAACGTCCCAGTACTTTTTATTTCGTTGGGAACATAGAATTAGAGGTTTTGTTCTTTCGATTTATTTTCACTACTAAAAAATTTGTATCTTTTCGAATATTCGTTAATGGTTTGTGTGACCTAAATTTTCACATTATCTACCACCGTATCTTTTTTCGTCATAAAATTGGTCTTTTTTTTACTGTTCGTATTTATCCTTTTTTAATTAAGCTCATTTTATTCTAAGTTTTTCCTTTGTTTACAAAATTATTTAATATGCCAACTTTTTTTAAAAAAAAATTTCCAATTTTTCTCAATTTTTCCCAATTTCAAAATTTTTAAAGTTACTATAAATGAAGTTGTTGGTTAGTTGTTGGTTTTTTGTTTAATATTTACGGTACAAAATCACAATCACAACAAATTAATTCCGAATCAGGCGTATTTTTTTTTTCATTTTTTCCATATAGATAAATTAAATTATAAAAATTTTTTTTTTTTTTGTTTTACAAATAAAAAACGTTAAAAATTTCTATTGTATATTGTTTAGTCTCTCGTGTTTGGTAAAGCTAAAGCATGCGCAAATCATGCGTGTACATACATACAGTATATACATAAATATTAATTATCATGACGTGCAGTATTATTATGCGTCTTTTTGTCATCCGTCATAGGCTGGATAATAACTAAACCCAAGGGGTTACTCTCAAACATTGATTATTAATTATTAAGTTTTTATATTACATAATTTACTGTATATATAAGAAAGTCGAGCTTCTAGAACTGTAGTTCGTATTAATTAAATATCAATTGTGATCGAGTTATCAAAGGAATTTCATTCTTTAAAATTCAATATCGCGCCAAGTAAAATCTAAAAGATTTTAATTAAATACGTAAAAAATTCTTTTGACGTCACTCAAATATAATTTATACATATTTCTACATAAGGGATAAAAATTCTAGCACCAGTATGACATTAATACAGTAATATATGTAATTTATTGCAAGTATATGCTGTATATGCTATATATCTGTATATTGATCTACACTAACAATTGCACGAACATCCTGTCAAAATTACATTAACACGTAGACATTACTGTATATCACGCATATATTCTCGCAGTATCTCGCGTTATACACGTTTTTGACATAATATTGACAATTGATCGGCATTTATAATATACGTATAACGCGTACGTCATTATATATTTTTATTTGTTTTTTTTTTTTTTAAAGTTTTAAACTCATTGCCAAGAAAGTTTCTCGGTAATCTATTTTATTATTATTATTATGTATTATTATTATTATTTCTATTATTGCTATTCTTATTGTTACTATTATTATTACTAAACTATTCTTATTTTATATTTATTATATTACTATTCCTATCGCTATTATTTTTCAACAAATTAAATTTAGTGCTACGTACCAATTAAAATTTTAATTAAATGCACGTTCTAACAAATATCAGGGTATCCAAATATTTAATAACATCTTAAATGGCGCGAAATTTGTTGAATACATATTACTGTACTTTTTTTTTATTCTCGAACAATTACTAATTTTATAAAACAATTAACTAAATTTCACTAATTACTTTGGTAACTATTTCGGTTAACTACTATATTAACGTCTGAACTCCCTAAAAAAAAATATTTTTTTTTTTTCTCCCTTATACTTTTTTATCTGAAATAATCTCATTTATGCTAATTATGTCTTTGTCATCTTATTTAAAGGTTTCAAAAATTGATAAATATTTGTGGGACTTATATAA